AGCCAAGAGGAACAAGGAAGATTACACGGTAAGCTGAACTCAAATACATCAATATGTTTTGGAATGTTGAATACTTAATTTGCACGATGTATCATCATTAGTTTCCTAATCTTTAAAGTTACATCTAAAGAAAAAACAGGATTTCTCCATATGGCTGACTGACCAAGGATTGTCTTTGTCTCATATATTGAGGAGGAAAATGCTTTCATAAAATGCTTTCAACATGCACTGAAAACCATCCAGAATTCTTGATTTTTGAAATTTAATTTCACAAATGACACAATTCCCACAAACAACAAAGCAAGGAAAATGTATTTTAAATGTCACTTGAACTGGTGTAATGTATTAAAATCATGTTAGTAATCTTAAAAGCAAAACTGTAAAAGGGTTGAGCTCTACTCATAACAATTACATTCATCTGTTGAGCAGGCCCCAAAAGGTCCCCTAGGAACTGTAGATGGTCTTCAATGCTGGACGGTTGTTATTTTTTTTTTTTTTCTTTTTTAACAGGTATCATTATCTTAGGTTTTATTCTTAAGTCAGCTTGATCCAGAATGTAAAATAAATTAATATAGTCCAGTTTTAACTGTTCCCTGTCATTAGACTCCAGCTTAACCTTCTGTGATCACAGAAACTATGAATCATCACTATTTAGAATCAGGTCCAGACAGTGAAGCATATCACATTTAAAAACAAATAATTAAATAAGAATGTGGCGTTTTCACAATCAAGCTTTCAGATTATTTAAAAATTAAATACATTTTTGAAAACAAAACAAAAACCCTGCTTTACTGACCACTTCTGGTTTTGTTTTTTTTCCGAAACTGGTACTGTGTGATTCCTCCAGCTGAGGGGCATGCCGCATTCATCATGCTAGAGTGATTCACGGGAGAGAAAAGGGAACGAGCATAGGCAACTCTGAAAGATCAGCTTCCTCTAAATAATCCTCATGATTCAAGGACTTTCTGGATGGCCAGTTTCCAGAATAGAAGTAGGCAAAGGAAATGCATATAAAAATTCTAATCAAACTGATAAAGTAAAGCACACAACAAAACAAGAGGCCAGATTAAAAAAAAAGAGATAGTCCTCATATTATCAGAACCTGAGTTTGCTGATTTTTCAGTTGCTACCAGAAGGACTTGTTTTAAGTAAACTTTTACCTCACTGTACTCCTACAGATACTGGTCTCCTAAGTAAATAGTAACAAAATTCAACATACTTGATAAAACTCTTGAATAAAACAACATCTGCTTTTTAAAGGGTTCAAATCTCCCTCACCCCTCTAAAGATTTAGCTGCATTTTTTAAAAAGTGGTTTCTAAAACATCACAAAGCACTTTCATCAGCCAACGAGTACAAACAGGACCACTTGGAAAGAAGAAAGGCAGAATCGTCACTCAAAAGTCCATCAGTTTTCTACCTGAGTTCACAGACTCAAATAAAAACCTCAGTACTTCTCCTGCCAGCCACAACATTTGGAGCTGGTAAGCAGGTGATCTTCTGAACACCGGAAGCGTGCATGCACATGTATGCGTGCACGTGGCTGGGTCAAAGGGGGAAAATCAATACATTAGTACGACATAAGATAACTGCAGGTTTTCATACAGTGCAGTGCTCCTCTACCCTGCTGAGACCGCCCCTGGAAGTTCCAGTTCAGATGTGAGGCTACGATAAAGCATTTCCTTTCTCATGATTTGTGCTATCTTCCTTCCTTGTGCTCTTCTTATCTTGATCTCTATAAACTACAGATACGTGGTTTATCTCAAGTCTTTTCTTGCCCTTTTGTTTTCATTGCATATTTCTTTTACTTTCGTTTTCATACAAATATCCTGCTCGAAGGATTCTGCCTAAGCTGCCTTGCATACTCTTCTGAGACCCTCTTTCTTAATGACAGATTTTCTTAATGACAGAAAATAGATTTGGATTGTTTTATATCCCTTCCCTATGTTAGTCATTTCCTCACTGAATGGGATGGAGGGGGCAGGGGAGAGGAGAAAAAGAGTAGTGTTTTAGCAGTGAAGTCTAAAGTTATTTACTTATCAGAAAACTCACTCCCATTCAACTATGGAAGACAAGAATTTTTAAAAAAAGGAAGACTCACCTTACCAGATAACATTTTGAACAACCTGAAACTTGCTCCTTACATGTTTTAGTATTGAACTTTTTTCCCTCGCATGGTTGCAATGGACTGATATTTTGCCAGAGATTCAAATTATTACACAGCCTTTTCTACTATGAAGTGGAAGGACAGAAAAAACCCATAAGCTTCCTCTCCCTTCCCTTCCCTCTCCCCTTGCCTTCCACTTCCCTCTCCCTTCCTCTTCCCCTCGCCTTCCCTCTCCTTTCCCCTCCCCTTTCCCTTCCCCTCTCCTTCCTTTTCCTTTGCCTTGCCCTTTTCCCCCTTTCCTCTCCTTTCCACCCCATCCCGGGAAACATTCAAGGTCAGGTTGAACAGGTCTCTGAGCAACCTGGTCTAGATGTCCCTGCTTGTTGCAGAGGGTTTGGAGCAGGTGACATTAAAAGGTCCCTTCTAACCCAAACCATTCTATGATTCTAACACCTCTGTTCACTTGGTTTGAGAAACAATACAGATGTTAATCACACTAGGAAAGATAAGCAAACCTTTAACCTTCATAATGTAGGGGAATATACGCAAAATAAACAGATTCTTGAAACAAGAGTTTTATGTTAGCCAAATGTGACAGATGATCTGGGTCTTCCATTCAAATTAACCTTTTAATGCAAAAGAAGACTACAAATTTTTTTATTAGCCACCCTCTGTGACACTGAACTCCAAAATTGCCATTATCCTTTTGTTCTCCAACAAGCTTCTCGTTTTAACGAAAAAAACTCTACACAACTCATTCTCATTTTCAGTTGTCTAGTATAGACAAATGTCATGGTTTAGCCCCAGCCAGCAATTAAGCCCCACACAGCCGCTCACTCCCTCCCCCACAGTGAGACAGGGGAGAGAATTGGAAGGGTAAAAGTGAGAAAACCCACAGGTTGAGATGAAGACAGTTTAATAGGTAAAGCAAAAGCCACGCACACAAGCAAAGCACAACCAAGGAGTTCATTCACCACTCCCCATGGGCAGGCGGGGGTTCAGCCATCTCCAGGGAAGCAGGGCTGCATTACGCGTAAGGGTTTCTTGGGAAGACAGATGCCATCACTCTGAACATGCCTGCACCTCTTCCTTCTTCTTGCCCCCTGCTTTATATGCTTAGCATGATGTCATACAGTGTGGAATACTCCTTTGGGCAGCCTGGGCCAGCTGTCCTGGCTGTGTCTCCTCCCAGCTCCCTGTGCACCCCCAGCCTTCTCACTGGCAGGCCAGCTTCAGAAGCCATACAGTCCTTGACTGTTTAGCAACAACCCAAAACATCAGCACCTTATCAACATTTTCTCATCCCAAATCCAAAACATAGTCTCACACTAACTTCTGTGAAGAAAATTATCTCCACACCAGCTGAAACCAGGACAACAATGAAAATCACAGTAATCCCTGCTAGAAGACTAATGTAGAAGATATTTCTCATTCTCTCATCACAAAGAGAAGAAATCTGATCCATAATTCAACTGAATTCTAGTCCTCATAGAAGCAAAAAAGCGAGACCAAGAGCTAAGAAAGCTGGATAAAACACTTAAAGAAAAAAGATTGTGAAAGTATATGTTTACTCATTTTGAGATCTGCATGTCCAAAGTGAGTCTTTAATTCTGAAGTACCCAGTTTCACTCTCTCTGGAACAAATTTGAAGTCAAATGGTGAGCTGTTGGGTAATTTTCATTAGCACCAAGCAAGCCAAAGTCAAGTATATGGTAACACTTTACAGTAGCGTTATGCCTAGATCAATTTCTTCATCATAAACCTGTTGCATACTTGAACTTTTCAAAAAGCAGTTACAAGCTAAATGACTTAAACACTGATGCACAAGGCATTACAAGATTAAGGTTTTAGCATTTCACCATTTAACAATATGCCTGATAAAGGCTTGATAAATGTTTTTTTGAAAATGACTGTGTCTGTACTAGTTTCCTTGAAAATTCCTAGATATACTGAATCAACAGAACTCTGTACAGAAAAATAAAAGCATAGAGACACTGATCTGGAAGGTTTACAATAATTTTGTTGCACAAATCAAAGTGTATGATCTTACAGTTGAATTTATGTTTCTGTCTCTTTCAGAAATTGTTAGGTGTTTTTTATATGCATGACCACAAACACTACAAATTCATGGGCTTATCCTGCAGACTTACCATAAGCTGAAAGCAAGAGCTTCTCTTGTATTTTCTATGATTAACATTTGTCTAAAATTTGGTAATATTAATACTTTCCATTAATATCAACACATGCCATTGACAAGCTCAGTATGTCATTAAAATGACAAAGCAGCACGTACTATGTTAATACTGTATATTTCAGAAAAATGTTTAGCTGCTCTGATTTCTTACAAAAGAATCAGTCCCTGCAAATACTCAAGAAAAGCCAAGTAGAATGCTAGCCCTTACAACTAGCTTGCACTCAGATGAATTACCTACTTCCTCCCAGATTACTGGAATTATTGCAAGAATTTTGTCTTTTTTGTATCCTGAGACCACTGAAGACAATTGATGAAATTTATCAGTCCAGTAGCACATCAGTATTTGACCATGCAGGTGATCTTAACCCTTCAGAAGCTTTGTGAAACACTTGGAAGAGATTTCCGTTTATGCCTGTCTGTTACTCAAGTGTCAGCCTTTTGACCCTGTGAATATCAACACATTACAGTTTACCAAGGCAGTGACAACTTCAGGTGAAAAGAATACCTGTAACGAAGAGATTCAGAATTAAAAAACAGAACAGTTTACCACAACTAGTTGTTTGTGGACCTTTAATACCATCTCCAGCATTCGTTACTAAATGTTGTTTCTGCCTTTGACATAGATATAATCTCAATTTGTTCTAAATGCTACTTCTAAGAACACCAGTAAATATCTACAGACACAAAACCAGAGTGTTGAATGTTTTACAAGGTACATCCCTTTATTATTGTAATCACGAAAACATGATTTTTGTACAGGAATGTTTAAGTGAACACTAATCGATGCAATTAAATTTGTTTCATAAAGATCAGGTAAACGTACTACAGAACATTGTATTGTAAAGAACAAAAATATCAGCTTTCTGGCCTTGCAATGCACATTTTAGTGCAAGTATTAAGACACAATAGTGTTCAATTCAGCAATGTATTGCAGAACATCATGCCACAGTCCACTTCAAAGAGGGTCAGGACATGCAGCTTGTTAATAAAATGCTGTAGTATATAAAAAAGCCACATGTTAATTCATAAAATATATAGTGGTTTATTTGGATGATTTAAAGTGATTTCACTGTGGAATTTAGTTTTATCCAGGACAAACATCCAGAGTGTCTTGTCATATGGAATAGTCTTCTTTTAGGCGATGGCTTTGGCTTCAGGCAGGAATGGCTCCCAGTATTTTATTAGCTTTGTCCCAGTATTTTATTAGCTTGAAGAAAAGGGAAAAGACACTCACTATTAAGGACCAAATGTTGGAAAAGAAAACACATATACCTTTCTCCTCTTGCAGTGAGCTTGTCTCCATTGGACAAAATAAGAACATAGGTGCATCATACATCCATTCACATTATTATATAATGCAGAAAAAAATACAAGTAATAAATACACAAACCTGCTCCTAGCATAAGAGTTGCTGCCACACGTTGAACACAATGTTATAGAATAGTTATATAGAATTTGTTTGCAAGCTCAGTTTGCTAATCTTATCTCTAAGGGTACAACTTTTCTTTTTTAATTAAACTAAGTTGGAGGGTTATATTCCCAGAATGAATAAAGGAAAGACTCCAGACACCCTTTTGGGAACAAGGCCTACTTCTGAGTCACTGGAAACTGTTTTACTGCTTTACAATATTCAGTAATATTTTACACTTTTTAAAAAAACCAATGAACATTTAAGCATTCAAGTCTCTTCAGTAAGTCTAAGTACATATTCATTACAATTTACTCCAGTCTGTAAATGAAAGTATTACTTCAGTTTCAGAAAGAGAAGACAAGAACCTCCAATCGCCCATATCCCTAAGGGAGCTCCTTCCTTGCTTCCCTGAATTAGAGCTGTGCAAGGGAGCATAGCAATAGCTGTGAAACTGCAATCACTCTGTTATTCTCCAACACAGTACAGACTAGAAATAGTTGTTTATGTTTTAGAGACTGCTATACTTAAAGCCTGTCTTTTTAACAAACCTAGTCTGGAACGTGTTAAATATTAACGTGTACAAAACTTAAAATTTATCTTACCTGCTGTTGTGTTTGCACTAACGACTCTAAGTACTTGATAATAACAGTTTTAAAGTCTTTCACTCGTTCCTTCTGTTAATAAATAAATTATGGCATATTAACCTCTTAACCGATTTTACTTGGAATGTCAATATTATCTAAAGTAAAACTGTCATTTACTTGGACAAAATCATACGTGCCTCAAATCTTCCCACTTCCTTGCGAATGGTTTTGGAGATCTGTTCAAAATCTTTTTCCCCTTGCTGAACTTTTGTCTCCCACTGGCAAAGGAAAGACACGCAGAGATAAGACTTTGTATTGTCCATTCAGTCTGTCAGTATCTGAACTTTTTTTAGTATATTAGTGATAGTCACTCAAGAGCTGAAAAGCACCTATTTGGGTTTTTTTCATACTCAAGGGAAAGTCTCACAGTAACAACTTCAGAGTAACAATTTGTATAATAGAGTATTATCAGATCAGTTAAAACAATGGTATCCTTAAGGCAATGCTATCTATAGATGAAATGTAAAAATATCTTAGCATTGCTATAAAGGAACACTTACTAATATTTTTTAAAGATTCTTCAGAGAAGAAAAAGGATCTCTAACGCTTCACCTGCTATTCTCTTTACAAACACTGCTATAAAAGGAAGCTAAACCTGGAAGCTTTCTGCAACTACCTGTCTAATCAAGTGTAGGAGAGTCTCAAAAATTAGTTCCCTGTACTTTCTTAATCGCAGAAGAAATGATTAAATCTTCATCTCCGGCTAGGGTCCAGTATATGATTATCTCTATCATATTGCTATTGCAAATCACAAGCTATTGAGGGTGTGTTTTTTGGCTTTCCAGTCAGAACACATGTTGCTTAGGCAAGCCAAAGCACATGCTTTCTTACTCACTGGGAACTGTTTTCAGAGAAAGCAGGAGTAGGAAAGTTATTGCAAGTAAGAAGAGCACAAAAGGAGAATTCAGAGGAAGTGATGTTGCTTGTGGGGTTTTGCCATATTGGGGGTGTGGCATTCATGTAACAATACATAACACTAGGTTATGTTTCTTCTCAGTTTATGGGAAACACATCCAGATACACAGTGAGAGATCGTTGTCATATACGTTATCTTATAATTGCTTTTACACACCTATTATATTGTTAAATTTAAGCTAGCTGTGTAGACATGCTCTGAAAAAAAGCTATCGGCCTCACACTTCAGATGCATGCAGGCTAGCAGGTATTTAAAAAGCAACTGTATCTGTTCATCTCAACATATTAACTGAGTCCTGGGAGCCAATATATCCAGCAACACTTATCTTACTCAGAAAAAGGCAGCAGGGAAGCAACGTACTTCAACATAGCAATCCTGTTAGTAATCCAGTGGTGCTATTTATTCACAAATGCATTTTGTGGTACAGTGTCAAGTTACTATTATAATACAAGATGAACATCGTCTATGTTCCAATAAATATCTACGTATTTATACTTTTAGTTTATATCTACTCAGAGTCCCCTTATTGCCTTTTCAGACATGCATTATGAAGCTATGCAATACATCATAACAGGATGTCCTTCACGGAAGAACAGCCTGAAGAGTCATCTAATAACAGAAACAATACAAAACTCAGCCAAGGAAAAAGTAGATTAAGACTTCCTGTGCCTTACAACCACAGCAACTAAAGGTGCCCGAGACTTCACTGAAAGCCTCTATAGGCCTCAAGGATCCAATACCCCAGTTTCATCATGCCTGGAAAATAGCTGCCATTTTATAATTTTGTAGAAGAAGAAATTTCTCCTTATTCAGTATGGTATTTCTAGGGCACTTCTTTGGCTTTTTACCCACAAAAAGCAACTGAGTCATGGATGAAGCTCAAGTTGTGTAGTCTTCTACTTTGCCATTTCTCTGCCAGGACTACTATTACAGAATTCAGCAACTCTGAACATATTTCAATGGCAGCAATAACTTTCGATCAGCACTTTCAAACTGTGGGTTTACTAACAACCTTCTCTACTCATCCAATAAAGTAGGAAAAATAAATCCCAGGAGCATCACTAATTCTTTTAATATTGGGACTGAGAAAGGATCACTGAGTATTTCCTACTGCTTTCAATACTCAGGAAGTATTTTCAACAAGAAGTTCCAGCTAACTTGTATTGTGGATGGATGAGTGACATCAAGAGGGGCAATCAGCAAGAATGTGGTCACACAAGAGTGACACTAAAGTTTTCCCAGTAAACAAAGGCCTTTCTTGAGAAAAAGAAAGCTGAGTTAATGAGTAACTTCAACACTGTATGCAAAATATATTGAAGGGCAGAAAGAACAAAGCAGCATGTGGTTAGTGACCAATGAGGAAGCCAAAGTAACTTCATAAGAGAGCTTGAAATCTGCAATGATGTTCTCCCATTATTTAATGGAAGAATACTGATGCATAATTAGAATGCATTAATGTTAAATAATTAAGTTGTCCTACCTCTTCAATTTCCTTAGTGAAGCATGATAGAAAAAGTGTATAAATTATGACACTTCAACATGTTAGATTTTATTTTTACTGAAATTACACCATATATACATACACATATATATGGGTATATGCTGCATAATTAAGCAAAACATGGGAACAGTTCTCCATTAGTGATCTTAGCTCAATTTCATCTCTAGAAGCCAAGAAATGCTCCTCTGCCTACCCAAGCAATATTTAAGTTGTCCACGTTCCCCTCCTCCCATCTCCCAGACTCTGTAGAGACAGTATTAACTGCCTTACAGATCTTACAATGAGTAACAATTGCACACATTTAATAATTTAAATAAATTTCTTTCAATTTCAGTAAATATGGAAAACAGCAGATGAGTGATTTGTAAATAAAAATGGTATAAGGTAGAGCACTAATGAAGAATGAATGAGTTAATGCAGAAAGTCTGACCTTCAAATAATGTTTGTTAACATTACCTCTTTTATCTCATCTTTAGCTTGCTGCAATTTATCAGGTTTGTTGGCAAGTTGGAGCTTTGCTTCAGCTTCACGTTTTTTTTGTAAAGTGACCTGAGCATCTTGCCACTTCTGCCAGCACTTCATTCGATGATCAAACACACCCTGTAAGGACAGACAAATTTATTAAACTGGACTCATTAGAGCTATTTAAATTCCTAGTGGGAAAAGGTAATTCTGCATAAAACTGGAACAAGTATATTCAAAGAAACCTCACTGTGTCTACCACGTCTTCTTGCATTTCGTTTGACAGCATGCTTGCACAGCTCAATACCTTCCACAAATAACAGGGTATTCAAGAAGTCTTTTCCAAGCAGACACCTTAGTGCCCCTAATCATTTTATGTTCCTCATTCCATCAAAACACTACCAAAACAACCACCACAAACTGCTCTGTTATGCAAATACTTCTCTAAAATGCAGATTCTAGCTAACTTCTCATGCATATGTACTACCTGCATATTCAGCAATACGTTTTTGTTCGCAATGGACTAAGGTAGCAGAGTTAAAGTATATATATTAAAAAAAAAAGGAAAGAAAGAAAATAAAGAGAAAAATATATACTTCCAACCACCTTCCAAGTTCAAAGATATTTCTGGATAAAATTTGTAGACCCCTTCCCATGTCAAAAACTAATTATGCTGTGCAGCATGACTTACACCAAAATGGAATTTTTTCTTCAATGAGATGTAGATCTACAAATTCATCTTTTTTTATTTATGGAAACTATTATCTACCTACCAAAAATGGCCAAATTATGTTCTCAAAAATTTATGAGCATACCGTAAAAATAAGTAACCTGAAAGAAACACACAGTATGTTTAGACACAGTAGTGTATTGGTATCCCCAAATACTCTGCACAATGAGTACTGCTCAAAGCAGAACATGCTCACCATTTACGTTTTTTCTGGATCTTATTAATCCATTCCCATTTTTGATCACAACCCTTTTTATCACTGGAACAGTTATCACGGATGCATTCATTTTACTCGGCTAGAACTTTAGGTCTTAACTGTGTTACGACATGTGCAAATGCACACATTCATATACCCTAAATCTGCAAGTTGAGGAATATCACTTCAACCACAAATACTAGTATTTCTCCTAGTAGTACTCACTTTTACTGCAGCAATGAGACGAATGTAATCACCAAGCAGTTCTGAGAACACATAGAAATCAGCAAAAGCTTGCTCTTGATGCAATTGATCTATTTTCTCCTCAACCTCTGCAAGCTGAGACAAAGCTCTCGATAGAGCAGTGTGGTCCTCAGAGTTACCTAACATGGCAGCGCTTTTAGCAAAGGCAGCTGTGTTGGCTGAAAGCTCTGAAATACAGGAGTAATATTGAGTACAATGCTGTTAATTTGTTATGTTACTCTGCAAGCATAGATCAGTGGAGCAGAGACCTCTGCCTGATTTCAACCCTAACTTTACAAACTGAAAAATGTAAGTTGTACTGCCTAAAGCACGAGATAAAATACGCAAGATCACAATGAAACCACATTTAGAAGAAAAGCTCCTGCACAAAAAAACCTCTCCATCAGTAAGTGTTTTGCTGAGCCTACCAATGTCATGCCTACTCTGTCGAGCAAAACGTATGGAAAAAAATGTCACTTCAGTATTATCCAACTGCCTAGTTCAGAGAAAATGCAAGCCCACAAAACAAAAGCCAAGTCACCTATAGAGCAAATTCAAAACAATTTTAACAGGTCTATAGCACCGTTGTTCCATGCAGTTCATAGTGGGAAAAAACACAAACTATTTCACAAAACCACCACCACCATGACTGGAATTTATTTCTGTTGGACTATTTTATTGACTAAAGTACCTTTAACTGTGCATACTGTAATGTATTGCCACGTTCTGGCACGGCTTCAAAGAAAATAAAAGCCCTCATACCAGCATGGCTGGCATCTATGAAGGTAAAGTTTTGAGCTTATTTATTAACAAATGCTAGGGCAACTGTCTCATCAAATCCCATGTAAGTCATCCTGTACAAAGTTAAGTCCTGTGAAGGACCTCTGAACAAATGTTTAATCCAAATTACTTCAGAATTAAAAGTGCAGGTTTGTTTGCAACTATGCCGCTTCTGCAGAATCATCAGAACACCTGGAATCTTTGTAGAAGCAAAATGTCTTCAGATATTTAAAACCCTTACTATGTAAACACAACTCTTAAAAAAAAACCCCACCAACAAACACTTCTTCAAATCTATGGGCAGGTGTCAAATCAACAGTACACAAACACTTCCATTTTCCAATACTCCTTAAAATACTATTTAGTCTTGAATGAAAAATCTGGCCAAAGATTTTTTACTACAGAGAGTAATTCCTCATAGTTATGAAAAAGCAACTTATATTTTCACACGCTTTTGGAAATGTAGAGCTGAAAGGTGACCCCATATTTTAACATAATACAGTGGTGTCAACAAGCACATCTATGGTCTTCCCTGAACTACAAATCAAAGTTTTGGGGTTTTGATTTTTTTTAAATCATCTGAGTGAAAACAATCTTTGACAAAGCAGGAGCACAGGTGACTAAAATATAAACTTAGAGACTTCTCTCTAAAACAAGTAAACCAAAAGCTTATATTCTAAGACTACTTATCTTTCCAGAAAAGTTTACCTTAACAGTAGCTTGATGATATATCCTTATGTGGACCAAATTAAGAATAGTAAATTCCTACAGAGCAATACTAAACTAAACTAAAGGATGTTTAAATGGATTTAAACAGCCACTTTTTGTTCAGAAGGAAGTGACTTTTGCCATGAGACCCAGAGATACATTTATGAATGTCCACTGTAGTAGAATCACTTGCTAGGCATGGTATTGAACAACTGCAAGAAAAAAAAATTATACTAAATCAATATAGTAACTTTAGGAACGATAAAATATTCTGGTTAAAATTAAGATTAAAAACAGGTATACAAAAAGACTAGAGCAGTTTAAACTAAAAGCTACAATTAGAAGATTTTTGCTTTAAAGTATACTGTATAACTCAATTAGTTAATAGCTCTGACATACTTCCTAAAGTTCTACATACTTCAGTTCATGCAGCCACATAAAAGTGAAGCTACCTTTTCTGTGGCAGACTAATGCTTCGACACTGGCGTGAAGTTTCCTAAGTTGCTGATCCAGATTCTCAAACTGCTGCTGTTTTTCTTCAAACCACTGACAAAAGATGAAAGAGTCAAGCATTACAAATTAGATTACCAACAACATTTCTGGTTTTAAAGAAGCAAATTATCCACATACTGCCAGTGTGGCCAACTGATACAGCTAAGAATTCAAGCCAGTAAGCAAATTAATAACCCATTTTCTACTTCTACAGCTTTAAAATGCAATTGTTGGGGCTCATTAATTCGTCTCATTATTCAAGCCGAAAAATCAGCTCTTACTGCATCCGATTCATTCATCTTGATTGTCATTTTGTTGACAGCGTCGGCAGCCTTGTTCACCATCCTCAATATTCCTGCTCCACTCAGAGCCTGGGTGTTAACCGCTCTCGGCAGCTGGAATTGAATGACAAATAAGGGCAAACAGACTGGTTAAAAGGATGGAGGTTTAACTGGGCACAAGGGGGAAAGAAAAGGATATAGTGTTTTCTTTATTCCTATGTGTTTCAGTATCGTGGAATCTAATTTCTCAGATTTACTACTTTCACATTCTCAAGAGGAAAACTTAAAAATACAGACTATTTACTTTTCTTCTACATCTTTACATTTAAATGGAGCAAACAAGCCACTTGTCCAAAGTTATTATGAACTAGCCAAAGGTCCTAACTAGCCACCTATACACTACAGAGAACAAACTGACACTACAGGAACAGAAAAGCTTAGATTTACTTGCAATGCATGGTTTGCATCGTGTGCTGATTATAAAAGGTTGATGTCTTTTTGCTTTTCAATATAGGCCAATTTTGCCTTTCAAAACCTCTCTCATGCTTATCAAGAGAACTGTGTATTTGCTTCAGCACTTAGGGGTAAGTTAACAAACTTTAAATTTAACTGATATTATTATTCAGGATAGTCTGAACATGCCAAATAGCCCCTATGTCAGGCCATTTACCCTTCATGTGATGTTTTGTCTGTGAGCAGCATTGACAAATCCACTGTAAGTTATCTATCAATGATGCTTTTGTCAGTACTGAGGTCTCTGACTTATAACTAAGATACTGACACTGGCCAAGACAGTTCAGTATTTCTGTGAATCCACTATGCACATTTATAAAGAGATATTATGTATCTTTAACAATATATTTAATATTGTGAAAGGTGCCAGATTGATAGCATGGGTGACTGAAGTCCTCTATTCACAAAACCTCTAGCCCAGCCAGCAGCATTGCTAGCGTTTCCACATTATCCAACCAATACACCTCAGGTTGGACTCCTAGAGGCAAAAGAGCTGCTTTCAAGCCAGTTTAATGCTTGATCTTACTTGAGAATCAGTAACACGAATTATGGATTTTCACCATGTATGACAAGCTTCGCTGACAATTGGGCAGACCAACTTGCTTGAGAAGTCACTGAACAGCAAAGAGAGTGGTAGTGACCAAAAGCTAAGTAACCTCTGCCATTCTGTTCCATGATGGGTACAATCCAATTTGATTCCATATGAATTTAGGGGATTAGGTCTCAATAAAAAGAGAATATATTGCTTTGTGGGTTATCATATCTACAAACAAGTAGGGGAACGTAGAAGAACTTAAAATACCTCGGAACTTTCCAAGAACTGTCTTAAGTCTGGATCCTGTAACAAGGTTGGGTGTTTTACTGTTCGTTGTAGATACCTATGGTTTTAAAAATTAGAATATTAGATAACAAAACAGATTTAATGTGCCTGACAGCATTGAAAAGCATCCTTCATCTAAAGAACAGGTACAAGGCAGCACACAACCTCCCTCATTATCTAATGCGGTTTGTTAAAAGGTCACCTCTAAAGGGTCAGATGATAGTTCAGTCTCCATGCCCCTTCAATCCTTTGCCTCTCTACTGACTCTTCAAACCATATTTAGGCATTCTGTCACCATCCTCCAGGCTAAGTCTCACATGGAGTTACAAGCTAGGACCACTAAGCTGTTGAAACATTCACTGAAGCCTTGCTCCAGCAAGGCTGCCACAAAACCTGCAACTTCTGACTGAAAGTAATGCAGCCCCATGCACTCCATACAACAACATAATGCACCAAAGCCATGGGCAGTGGTTTGCAACATAGTTTGTTTACACCAGAAACTCCTTAAGATGGGACCTGCCATAACTGTATGTTGCATAGTGGTAATTTTTTATACTTCATACTTTCAAGAGCTGAGTGAAGTTCTCCTCTAAGAAGAGCAAATTTACACCAGACAACACTCCTGTACAGTGCAGTGGACAGGCTTTTTGTTATAGATAATTCTGGTGCACTTATTTTAGAATTAAAGGAAATCTTGGAAAAGTGAGCTAATTATGTTCTAAGTATGAACTATTTATTTGCTGCCTAGACTAAAGCCTTCGACCCATATTCTAAAGGACTCATCCACCCGAAAAAATGTATCAATGCGACTCCTTCCCTTTGCAATTTGTCACGATTCTGCTTAGAACTAGAAACTTGATTGAACAAATATGGGCTGAAGAGAGAAATTTCAACAATATTCTTCCCTTAAAAACTGCTGAAAGTTTGTCTTCCACCAAAGACTGCAATGGATTTTAACATTATGTATTAACAGAAAGTGGGATGTTTACATGGATGCTTTATAGGAATCTAGTACCTCAAAAGATCACGGGAGTATAAGAAAGTATGTGTTATTGCCAATTAAAATGCAGTGACAGAATACTATCAACAGCACACTCTACTTTTTGCAAGCTTTAGCTCTACTCAGGCCTCAGCTGCAAACTACCAGAACAGCTCTGTTACATTAACAAATTGCTTAGAAACTGTCCTAGAAAGTGAGGTGGGCTGGTACTTTTAACTGGAAGTCTGAGTATATTGATACTGTAAACGTAATTTATTTTTTCCATCCTTCATTAGGTATGGCTACCAGATCCTTATTTGTCTTCCTAAAGAAGACACAGGTTGCAGTGAAACTATTTTATACATTAGATTGCTCAACTTTTCCTTGCTTGTTCTACACTCAGTAGCAGGTAAAAATTAAAGTTAATGTGGCAAGCAGCCAAAGAGATTTTTTTTCTGTAGAAATATACTGCTAGAGAATAGCCGTTAGTCCAAGGAAGACTTCTAACATTTTCACTGGAGACAACTGGCAATGTGCGTGAGGACATCTGGCAGGCAGACTTGTAGTATAATCAGCTCAGTGTTCTAGGGCATAAATTTTAGTGAATTCAACTAACAAGGTACATTGCTTTCCTGCCCACTTTCCCCATAGTCCTTGGTTCAAAAAAGAGAAAATTGAAGCAGATATCTTCGGTCTGACTTTCTGGAGAACAATATATGTTTTCCCCAGGGTTAGGCAAGACCAACAGAACCACTGCTTCTAAATATCATTTGTACACCGTGGTGGGTAGGTAATTTTCTGATTCTGAAAGGAAAAAGACAGCTAAAGTTGGCATGACGAAAAAGTTGGTCCTTGCCAGATAAGATATTGATAGTCTTTCTGAAAAAAAACCCCACAACAAAAAACCCAAATGTAATATACTGTGAAGCCTTCCTAACATTGTCAGAAGTCCTGAGAAGCCCATTCCTCTGTATGGAGGGAGTGCTAGAAGTGGTACACTAGTGTAACTCCTTTAACAAATAAATAAAAAAGCAGAAACTAAAGCACACAAGCTTGTGAATTAAACTTTTTCTAATCTTACTTCTGTTGTTCAAGTAAGCAACAAAGAGGAAAACTAGCCATCTCTATTGTAGACACCTGAAGTTGTGTGCAAGTATCCATTCAGCTACCTAAGCCCAATTAGTCTAATCCCAGCTGTTATTCCAAGTCTTCATATCTCACAGCACCACTCCTTCAGCAATAGACTGGTACAACCAAAACATGTTTCACAGCGCTGCTCCAAGTGACAGAACAACTTCAGTAACTTCTGGGTGCAATTTTAAGTGGACAATGTTAAGCTATATGACAATTTTCAGTAGCAGATAACTAAGACAGAGCAACCTATCAGTATTTTGAGGTTCAGCATAATTTCAGATGTTCTTCTGTTACTTCGGAAATGGAAAGATATTAGCAACAGGATGCTGAAGAGATATGTTTTGTTTCAGATTTGCTCTGGAACTCTGGAAGTTCAAGAGCTTCATGCTTTGTCTGTTTGACAGGTCTTTCAAAATACAATCTAAAACCTTTGACTTTTGTTAATTTTCTAGTTTAGCTGAAACTGTTATATGGTGTATTAGTCTCATATGATGCAATTGCATCACAGCAATAGTCATATTATAAAATACCAAAATTAAGACTGTATACTTGTGTAAATTCTACTAGTTACTTTCTAAAGGCTTTCTAAAAGCCATTTCAACAGGGGGAAATGATGCAATGTATCAGTGACAGTACCCTTCCACGGAAAAAGATACGTGAACAATATTAGTCGTATGCCAGTGCTGGGTGACAGAGATCCAATCTCTTATGCCAAAATTCAGCTAGTCAGATCAATGTACCGTAAGTCAACAGAAGGCCATTGTAACTTTCAAGTGACTGAAGGTCTTTCTCAGCCGTCTCCCTGCCCAACAGTTGATTTTCTATAGAACACATTTACAGCTGAAGTGCCTTAATTCCTTAAACCCAAAATGCCTAAGTAAGCTGATAAAGAAAGTTTTGTTTGCTAAATATCTGCAATCTTAATTTTAAGCATCAACCAGTTTGAAAAGGTAGCTATAATCCTCTCTATGAATAAGGCTACATTTCCCATTATTCATGAGGATTATTCCATTTCTACACAAAAATACAGCAGCTGCATACAACCTCCAGAATCCATCTAAGTACAGATGGCCCAGACCCCAACTACAGAGCCCATGTAGTATATTACAAGTCATTCTGAGGCTAAACAAGTTTTAGTTAGATACATACATTACCTTTCTAGAGCTGCTCTTCTTTTCTCTACAAATTCAGTAGATGAAGAATCTTCCTTGCCTACTTTAACCTTGGTCATGCCTTTGAAGAAAATGGCATCATATTGATTTTACTTTATCATAAATAAATCATTAATGTAAATGATGTGATTAGAAGATAAAGCTCACCTAAGTTTATGTATTTAAGTCAAATTACATCAAAAATACTATACAGGAACAGAAAAACCATCAACACTGCATGCTGCATGGTTTTGTGGAATCAGGTCTATGAAATATGCAATTTCCTGTAATATATTAATTGTGACCAAAAGTTATACAAAACTAGTTTAATTTGCATTTATTAAGACAATCTAAATGAAGATCAGAGTCTTACTGGTCACTCATATTCAGAAGAAAACAGTTACCCAAAAAAGCAGAATAGGAAAATAAATTGTAGGTTATAAGCCTTTAATTGGTAAGCTTATTACCAACATTTTCATTCTATTATTTTTCTAAGTTCTAAAACTAAGTTTTTTCATCCACTAAGGCAAACTAACCAGCTCTGAAAATTGTGAAGCATATGAACAACTACAAACTGAATGGAGAATAAAATTAGCAGAATAAAATGTATGCAGCTTTACATCGCTTCCTCTGCCCAAGCCAAGAGTGGCCAAAAAACTATGACAGGTGAGTCAGATTTATTGATGTTTCATGGCATGGGAAATACATTCAAGCTCAGCACCAGAACAGCTCTAAAACTATCAGACTGATGTCAGTATTTTTCGTGCTGAAGACTCAAACTCAGAGAGTTTGGGAACCTGAGTCCTATCAAAAACACCATGAAACACTGAACATTCATAATTATTCTTATTTCTTTAATACACGGGAGAAGTGTGTTATGGTACTGTCCAAACATCTTATTTCTACCTGCAGTGTATTCCTATTTTGTTAGTTCTGTGCTTCTCCAGCTAAAGTTCTAAGTCTGAGACTCTTAGTAAGCACTCTGTGACCTGCAAGGTCAACAGTTCCCAAGGTTGTTCCTCACCCGATCTCCCTTCTGGCTTTAGAAGTTTCACACAGTAACCCATGGAGGGGACAAACAGCATCCTTACAGGAAGAAGGAGGGACCCTTAACCTCTCAGTGAAGCCTTAGGTTTTCCCTTCTCTGTAACATGACGAAAATAAATCTGATCGGCATTTTTTCAAAAGTATACTACACAGTGTAATGTAACCGTAAATCCACAAATTTATCTGTAAAATAAAGTATGTCTTTAAGTACAAGGATTAAAGTATTCAAACAAACGTGAGGTAATTCACATGCCTCATCTTTCTGCATTACAGTATTACTATTCATTAATTTTTCACGGCAGAAAGCATTAAATGCTACGGGTTAATACAAAAGATCCTTCACATTTAATAGCAACAGAAGTTCATAGGGAAAAAACTGAATACGAAATCAAATGACCAATATGAGGAATTCCTAATTTCTGATATTGGCAATTATTTCTAGATATGTCAGGTTTCTTTCTCTGCTAACATAAGCCTATTTAAATGCAGTTGCAAAGGCAGTCTCTGTAGCCCAAGCACTCTAATCCTTCACAGGAAAGGATCCATGACTTTATAGGTTATTTTCTTAAAAACAGAGAACAGATTCTCCAACACACATATGTTAAGTAGTAACACAGTTTGAATGAGTCCAAATCTACCTCACCACTGACTCAATTTTATCCTGTTGTTCAGAGTCAGTAATTGACTGCTTGAATTTGTGGCTAAGGTCTGAAATGCAAACCCCTCCTACCCATCACCAAAATAAAGGTGGAGCTTAAAACTCCAGGATTTATCAACAGTGTAACAGAATGAACAGACTATGGACTTTTGTACAACACACACTACATAACACTGAATGTATGATATTTCATATATTAAGACTTTTAAAAATAAACACATGTAATGTAAACACAATATATCATCTCACTTTCAGCTGTTTTGCCAGCTCTCTGCTTTAAGATGCCTCGCTTTACATCAGCCTAGGATCCCTTCTTTCCTCCAGAATTAGAAATGTATGGACTATGTATTTTTGGACAGAAGTAAATACCACCTGTGCACCGAAGTTCAAGTTTAAAGAGGGAGTTTCATGCTCTTTAGAAAATATCCTACAGAATCTGTGAGTTTTCCCAACTTACCTGTAGCTTAACGTCTCTGTACAAGGATCTGAAATGACAGCCAGTGCTTGCTTACACTGCAGTAAGGCCCACCACTTTACACATTTCCAGGTGTATCAATATCTACAGTTTTGTTCAAGTGGTACCTCAAATACAGTCCAAGCTTTGTCTTACAGATGACCCTGACTGTGATGCAAGTACTACATTTCCATGTAACTGCACACTATCATAAATGCTTTAAATGGCGTATCATCCAAAGGACTTGACTAGAAGCCTCGTTCCATCTTTATAAGACCTGTTAGCATTTGTAATTAAACTTTTTTTTGTTACATAGACTCGTACATTACTTTTAAGAACTACCTAAAAATTCAGATCAAATTTCCAGTCTTACAGACTGAAAAATACAGCACTTTTCCACAGAATTAAAAACATGATTTTCCCAAGCTTTCTGCTGCCTCCATCTACTCAGTATGCCTCTTGCTACTTACATGAAAAGCTGCTGCTCTGATTAGCTTTATAGACTAAACTACTGAAAAAAGTCCTGATCATGAAACAGCATGTCTGACATACCAAACAGCATTCTGGAGTCCAATCACTTATTTATATGGCTAAGCCAAAAGGTTTTACTCTTTTAAAGGTTTAGTTAATTCTGAAAGAACCTCTACTACTTAGAGCTCATAAAAATGAAGTTGTTTCAATGCATCAGGCATGCTTCTTAGTTCATGGAGAAAGGATCTGATCTGTCAAGGCATTCAGGAAGACTAGCATCATCCAGAAGTGTTTTCTGAATTAGGACTTCTAAGAATTATCTAGAGGTTTTAGTATTCACCATGACCAAAAGAAACAGACTGAAGTATTAGAGAGGCGAAGTACATATATTGGAGGCAACCGATAACAGCACAAGCTAAAAATAACTTTTATTTAACATCTTTGTTTTGATAGACTAATCACCTCTTGAAGGGCAACAGTGAAGAAAGAATGACAGATAAGAAACAGAAGGCCATGTTTTAAGAGAAATGTCTTTCTTATCAACACTGGTTGGAGTTAGGAAGAGGCCAGTACATATCTTTCCAACTTAACCTAAACTGTTTAAAAATACAGAACAGGAAGAGTATTTAACAGTTTGGACGACTTGATAAGCAGCAAGTAATGTTTGTGCAGAAAAGTATTTATGTTACAAACCTAACATGTATTAAAATACTTAATTTGTATTACAGTACTTAAACGACATGCTTATTCAACCTTATTATGACATGCAAATTCAACCTTACAGGAACTACACTTACCCACAATACTTTTTTCTGGAGCTGGAGGCACAATGTAACCAATATGCATGTACTTTGTTGCTAATTTGCTGTGCAAGCCAAGAAAATCACTGAATCTTCTTTTAACAGAGAATTCATTTTTGTGGAACATGGAAAGTGATGTCTTCAAAAAATAAAAATTGTTATGAATTACTGATCCATCTACTCAGCTATGATACAAAGTTATCTGCAAGTATTTGTTGGACTAGTTACCTTTGTTGTTACTCTGTATGCCATATAAGCATTCATGCCATCTCCTGTAAGAAAAATTAAGATACTTATCCTAGGGTGACTTATTTTAATCCCTCCACACACTTTTTGTTCCAAAATATATATTAAATAGCTTTTCATTTAGATGCTAAAAACTGCCAAAAGATAACTGAATAAGAAATCATGCTAAGGTCTCAGAATAGTCTTCATAGGATAAGACAGTCTACCAGCTGACTTACTAGGCTCAAGGCACTTACCAACTTTCTCTGGGTCTGATACATTGATTTCTATATCAAACAAATTTCCATTTGCTTCCTCTTCAATCTAGGAAAAAGATATGCCATATTTAACAAGGTAATGTGCATTTATATTATGTATGGTTACAAGGATAAGTCTACAGAGGAAGGGGGATGAAAAGTCAGTGTGTTTGTATAATTAAAAAACATTCCAGACCCACCATCCAATGTTAAATTAATATAACTTCTAACATTGATTGTCACTGCAACAAAGTTAATGTGGTACACTTGGCAGTGTTACGTTTCTGGTTGGACTCGATGATCTTAACAGTCTTTACCAACTGAAATGATTCTGTGGTTCTATGATTTTAGTTTTAAGCCCTCCTGCAAAAGCTTTTAGTATGGCAGCCTTTTCTCAGGACTTGTCAGCCTTGAAATTTTTAGTAAATATTTACCTTAGAGGTGTGTTCATTGTACCTCCTACAATACCAGCAGATACTGTGGTTCAAAAAACACTCTCATTTGTGATGTTTCTATATGTCTCTAGTCAAAGGAAAGATATTCCTTTTTATTAATGGTATCTGTATCAGAAAAGCTTGGCAAGGGAAAAGTAACAGACAGAGAATTTTGATACTTGCCTGAGCTCTAATCATGCAGAATTTCATAACCTTTCATGTAATGTACATAAATTTGATAAAAACAGAGACCTTAAACATCAGAAGGGACAGTGTACCAGGGCTGAAGCAGGGTGGGGTGGGAAATCTGAATAAAATGTCATTTTGTGGTACGGGGAAAGCAGCCAGGCAAGTCACAGGCAAATCTTGTTTGCAAACTCATTTATCAGAGGGATCGTCTAGTAAGAGAACACTCCAGAATGAATAGCGTTTGGCAGTGCCCAGGCTCTGAATGGAATGTCAAATGTAAATAGCAATGTTAAAACTACCATTAGCCTCAGCTGTTTGTTAGCAAGGCAGGGTAACACTAAAACCTGCTTCCTCCATTCCCCTATTAACAACAGCTTCAGAAATCCAAGTTGAAATCTGTAACATGTTAGTAAGAGTTATTACACATCATTAACTTTCCTCCTCTATCAAGCTCACAGCTTGCTCCTACATACAATTTTACCCTATGTATTCTGAAGGAATGGAGTTTATTATTCCTCACACTGCAGATTTCCAATATAATCACCTAAGTAAAGAATTGCTATGGTATTTTCATGAGTCAAATTCACACTAAACTTTATGTACAAAACAAACAGGATAGGTTTTCTTTTACATACTTCCCCTTAGCAAAGGATGATCCTGTGAGTCAACATTTAGGAACTGTCATTTTAAAAGAATATAAAACTTTTAAAACCAAGCAAGACAACTCTGTAATTTAGAAGTTTACCGCGTACCTCTTCTCTGGATCTATCAAAAATCACAGGGGATGTTATGCTTTTCGATTCCATTCTGGGAGCTACTAATGTAGTAGGTGTTACAGGAGTGATTGCAGGAGTAGGTTCTGGTGAAAGTATTGGGTCCCTCTCTGGACTGTCCAATGAAACTTCTTCTGTTGCTTCTAGATAAACATTTTGAGTTAGAAAAGAAGGTTTTTGTGCAATAGAGGTGGATATGTATCACAAAGATAACAAAGATGCATACTAAAAAATGACGATATACAAGTTTAATGAGATATGTAAATAGGACCCATTTGTGCCAGATAATTTCTTTCAATACATAGCTAAAACCAGACGTGACATTTGAGCTTGTGGTGCATAATGGCTGAAAGTAAGATTAATATTGCTGATGCTTTTTTTTTTTTAAATACACTCTTAGGTAAAGAGTCAAGTGACAAGTGACAAGTCATTTATTACTGCATGAGATATTGTGAAAAAGAATTTTTTTTACGACACAAGCAGCCCTTTTTCTGCACCTGTACCAATTTTAGTTTTGGCACTCTGAACAACAGTTGATTTAGTCATATAGATTGATAACTGAGCAAACCAAACCATCTGTTAAACAAAGTTACACAACCATAATGCACCCTCACCCCTGCCAAAAGCCCACAGACTGTAAAATAGAAATATTAGTGGGTGAGACATTCTGACTAGTAAGAGTAACTATCTTTAGTCTCTATCTATCTTCAGTCTCTTCAGGGCTTGAAACAGTTCACTAGAAACTGAATACTTTCTTCAGATTGTAGACACTTCAGCTATTTTTAAAGACCATGTAAATCTCTCCTTTACAAATCCCACATACTTTCCTCCACTAACTGATTTTAACCACTGGCAAACTACACACTTCCTGCGTATTGAGAAGTTCCTCTTCTAGTTTAAATAACTAATAATGTGGTTCTTGCTAAATGTGCATTTTCAAGAATTCTAGTTCCCTAAAAGGTAACATTGACCACAGAACAGTCATTCAATACCAAAATTGACTTCAACAAGTGATCTGAAGTCTTTTTACAAACTAGACTTCCTGTGCCAAGTACTTTACCAAGAGGTAAGAAGGCAATAAAACAGATCCAATCAGAGTTATAGAAAGTTACCAGAAAGGTTTACTATGCAATTTGGAAAATACCTGTCCTTCCAACTTTGGTCTGTATGAACCACTGAATTTTTAAAAGAGAATACACCATCTTTCTCCAAAATTTTTTAAAGCCTGATGTATATAATGAATAAACTAGTCCTTATTCAACAGTTAAGAAAAGAGGAGTTTTAAAGATCATATCTACTTTAAAATTTGTGAAATAGTTACATTGCGTGTAAAAAATATTTTTGTCACTCATAGGAATGTTTGCTTCTCCAGAACAGCCTATAATCTACTAGCAATGTAAAAATAGAACTGCAAATAGCATCCAATGAACCATATAATTTATTACTGCAAAAAGTAGTGTTACAATCTTTCATAATCAATATATCAAAACCACTCAGCTTTATCCCCATTGCCACTTAGAGATACTCTTTTAGTCAATTCTGTTTCTCATTCTTCTCTAACACTTTTTTTTGCCAATCCTTGATGTTCTTCATAAATGAAGAAAATCACACTTCCCTATTTCAGGGGTGAAAATGACTGTGTGCCTAGATTTTATTTGATACTGAACCTCAAAATAAATTGAAAAAAACAAACTTCAAGGTCACTGTGCCTTAACCTGTTTTGAAGCAGATGCTCATTCTGGCTTAAGGCTGACAAAGTTTGCTGTCATCACTTTGTTTTGAAGTAGATCAGAGAATTGCTGAGCTTGGAAAGGACCTCTGCAGATCATCTAGTCTAACCACTCTGCTCAAGAGCGACCAAGAGCAGGCTGCTCTGGACCACATCTAGATGTGTTTTGAGCATCTCCAAGGATGGAGAATCCACCTCCTCATTGGACAACCTGTGCCAGTGCTTGACCACCCTCACCATTTAAAAAACAAACAACATTTTTCTTATCTATTATCTGTATTTCAATTTGTGCCCATTGCCTCTTGTCCTATCAGTGGGCACCACCAAGAGGTCTGGCTCCCTCTTCTCCATTCTCCATCAGGTACTTATACATATTGTAGGATTCCTCCTGAGCCTGCTCTTCTCCAAGCTGAACAGTCCCAGCTCCCTCAGTCTCTACTGATATGTCATACACTTCATGTCCTTAATCGTCTTCATGGCCCTGCATAGGACTCACTCAGGTTTATGTCTTGTATTGGGTAGCTCAGACCTGGACTCATCACTCCAGGTGTGGCCTCATCAGGGCTGAGCAGAGGGGAATGATCACTTCCCTCAACCTGCTGGCAATGCTCTCCCTAAATTCAAATTACAGATTTCCATAGTATTTTAAAACTAAAAACAAGCACTTTTTTCTCCATTTTTAATATGAACAAAAATTACCTAAAAGCTTTCTTTGAAAAGATTTATTTTCCCACCAGTGCTTTATTCCTACTGCTAAATCTTCCTGAAGAATCCTGCTGATGCTTCCTGCCCTCAAATGCCACACAATGCATCTTAAACCAATAAAGAACGTTAATTCAAAACTGCAGATCAGGTGGGAAGTCATACTGAGGCAGTTGCAAAAAAAGCTTTTAGGTTGGTAGAAGAACAACATTTATAAGCATGAAAAAGAGGTAGTTCTCTCTTTTGGTGGCTAACAGCATTCAACATATATGTTATACGCAATAAAAATGACTTTCAAAAAAGCATTTCTCAGAAAAAATTATATACACGCATGCAACATAATATGTTATACATATGATATAATATAATCTAACATACAAAATTATAAAATAAATCCATTCCACTTCAATTCTTCCTGTTTCTGTCACCAGCTATATTCCAGCCCATGTGTTTGGGAAACGAAACCATTAATCACCACTAAGCACTTTTCTGTACCTTCACATTTTAGTCAGGCTTATAAAACAAGTCATGAAAAAATTCACACAGATTTCTCGCTTGCATCAGCTGAGAAAACATTCCTGTTACTGTAAAAGTATAACTTCATGAAAAAAGTGTTACTTCAGTGTAACAAACCAGCACTGCTATCAGATGAAACAGAAGCACACTCCTTCCTAGCACTCCTCTTTTTCAGACTTGTATCCACATACCCATTACTATCATGAACTGATCTAGGTTGTATGTCATATGAACTCCAACCAGGATTAGCCCCCTGCTACTGTTGAGCAGATAGAGGAAGCTACTGCTAAGCTGGTGCATTGTTTCTGTAAAAGACAAAGCAGCAGAAACAAACAGTTGGAAAGGCAAGGAGGTTTTGTTTCAGCAAGACCAGCAACTTTAGACTTTGTCCAAGCCAGTATTCCTAAAGCTGTGTGACCACAGGTTGCTTGGGCATGACCAAATTTTTAACGGTGCTGCCTGCTAGCCCTCCTTTTCTATTTTCCTGGAGGAACTTACTCAGAGAGAATAGCATCTGTTTGTTTGATAGCAGCAGGTCAGTTCTTTAAGGAAGAAGAAAGGAGAATTTCTGCCATACTCCCTCCCACTACCTCTCACCCCCAAGTCTGCATGCATCCCAGACATTACATAAATCTAGAGGAGTGAAATGGAAGAAATAGTGAAAAGGGGTGACAAGACAGAGCAGGACAAAGACAAGAACGTTGCACTTCTTACTTTTTTAAAAAAGTATTAAAATATTCTGAAGGGAAAAAGAAGTTTTAGCTTTATATAAACAACAGCAGCCTCTTACACTTTTTAGTTGTCTTTTCCCCCCCCTCAGAAAACCAGGTTTTGAGTAGTACATAAGCTGAAGATCCATTTCCCAAGAAATAGATTCGTTCTGATGAACTCTGGCATTTATGCTTCTTACATACTTTGAGAAATCAGATGACATGGTCTAGACTAAAAAGCTTCATTGACAATTCTGTGTTTGTTTTATATGTGGGGTTTTTTTTTTAATGGAAAGATGAATTTAGTAGGTTTCAGACTAGAAACTATGGCACTTTCAGAAATATTTGCTTGATTTATTCATTTTAGATTTTCCCCTGAAAACTCAGGTATTAGGTTGTGGTTTCGTGGTTTTGGTTTGGCTTCTTTGTTTGTTTGGGGTTTTTTTAGGGTTTGGTTTTTTTTTGGTTTTTTTTTTTGTTTTGTTTTGTTTTGTTTTTTTAATATTCTGTATTAGTATCTGCATGAAAAATTTAATCTAGGTATCTTGCTTTCCTGGGAAGTTCTCATAAGTATAAGCTGTTCTTGCATAAAGAGAGGCAACTATTCTGCCCAGTGTTTAGGAGGAAAACATTGAGATCCAACACTCACATCAGCTATGGCAGTTACCAGCACATATGAAGCACTCCCACCAATCCAACACTGTAAGACTTCTACACACAAATACGTACTTCGCAACACATAAGCAGTCTTTGTTATGGATCAATGTCAAGATGCTTAGCTCCAAAAGAACATGAAAACATCCTGCTGCAGAAGACAACTATTTAGGCTTAATTAGCATTCTAAGGTCAACTACACCAAGTTTCTATCAGCATTCAAGCATGGGGCTCAATCTCAGCATTAGAGAGCTCCTTTCTTTACTTTTCACCACCAGTATTTGTCAAATATCATCTTAGAAAGTGCAAGTTTGCATTCCTCACTAGCAGCTCACTTCAGATGAGTAAGTTGTTTTTACTGGTCACACTTCTAAATGTCAGACCTCTAACATTCTGACATGGTTTGAATGTTCAGATTGGCTTATCTCTGAAAGTTTACTCAGGTGATCACATAAAAGTGGAAGTAAGCTGAAGCAGAAACTGCTGTCCAGTTATTAAAAAAAAAAAGGCTTCTACAGAGGTAGCAGTATTTCAGAGACAGATATCCTAAGAGACTGTGAGAACTTACTACACCTAAGTCATAGACCAAAACCCTTACTGTTACACCAGGAGCATCACCCCCTCTGCCCCAGCATTGACCTTCCCCAAGGACACAGCATAAGATGATCCATTCCCAAACAGCTCTCAGAGCTGAAAAAAACAAAAGAACATAAAAAGTAATCTTTTACCAGATGAGAGGAGAGGAAAAATTATAATTTTCCATTTTTCCAAAAATGGTGGCAGAGCACTGATACAACTCCACAGACTTGCTCAGTATCTATGAGCACTAGAGGCAGAAGGCACAGACAGCTATGTCCGGCACAGGCAGCCCACGGCACGTTTCTGCAGCTATACACAGAACTTTAGGCCAACATTTTGGAAGACTTTCAATATCTAGTTCTTCACTCTACCGGAGAAGCTTACAGAGAGACAGGTGTTAAAGACACACCCCAAAGTCCCTCAAGATACTCTTAATATTACCTGATTTGGAGCACTGACCATTATGGTCTCCACATGCAAGAGGTCTACAAGGTAAGATAAAGTAATTCTTTTTTAGCCAAATAATCAACACAATGACTTTCATTCTAAGTGTAAAAGTGCTTAAGCAAGTTTAGCAAGACAGCTTGCTTTTTTACAGAATGAAGAACCACAATAATAATGAATGTAGCAGCAAAATTTACTGGCCTCCAATGACAGCTGGAAAACTCATTTTCTTCCACCTTTGAAACCCAGTTTTAATAGTTCAACCAAAGCATTTATGAGTCACCAGAGACAAGGTAATGAACATCTAAAACATTTTATTGCACATACTGTCCTGTAGCTCCTGCAGAAACACAATAACAAAGAGGTTTTAAGTATAGTCAAAAAAGCCTAAAAAATCCCAGGTTCTGAACTGCACTAAAACTGTACAGGAAATCATATAATTTGTTCTCCCCTGCCTCCATTCCTATGAAGTCGCATTATTAGATAGAATAATGAAAAAGATTTATTAAGCCTAAAATAGCTAAAGAGGCATACCATCACATTTTTTACAAATAAGTTTGCAAAACTAGAATTGTTTATGCCTCCGAAGTGTCAGAGTCCCTTCCTTTCAGAAGCCACCCATAGGATTCCCTTTACCTGGATTTTATCATGTCTAACTCTTCAATAAGAAGAAACAATATAAGTTATAAAGCTGTGGAACTTCATTTTCTTCCTCACCTGTTAAGCACTCCTATAAGCTGTGCTAATAGGCTTATTTCGCATTTCACCATGTTGAAGAAAAATCCCCAGTCACAGTAAATTAAGTCCCTTTCATAGAAAGCCAGGCTTATGCAATCATGCTGGAAGCAAGGAAATAGGTATCTCATGTTGCCTTCTCACATTGTTTATATTCATTGCAAGTCAGTGTCAGAAAGTTAATCAGATGGATTAACATCATTGCCTAGCAAAACAGTCCTAAGAAAGAGAAAAATAGTTATACTTGTGAGTGCACAGCACTGGAACACAAATTAGACATTGTTTTTGAGAACACCTATGCTGACAGTGATACAAAGACAGAAGTTCATCACTAGAGTACAACTGCATTACATAAACGTCCTGTTTAGAACAGGATACTGTGAAAGGTGTTAAAGGTGATCCACTTAGTGGATGAGGATGAGGCTGTGGATGTTGTACCTTTACCTAGACATTAGTAAAGCCTTTGACACTGTTTCCCACAGCATTCTGGAGAAACCAGCTGCTCATGGCTTGGATGGGCATACTCTTCACTGGCTAAAAAACTGGCTGGAAGGCTGGGCCCAAAGAGTTGTAGTAAATGGAGTTAAATCTAGGTGGCAGCCGGTCACAAGTGATGTTCCCCAGGGCTCAGTTCTGGGGACAGTTCTGTTTAATATCTTTGTCAATGATCTGGACAAGGGGATCGAGTGCATCCTCAGTAAGTTTGCAGATGACACCAAGTTGGGTGGGAGTGTGGATCTGCTTGAGGGTAGGAAGGCTCTACACAGGGATCTGGACAGGCTGGATCCATGGGCCAAGGCCAACTGCATGAGGTTCAACAAGGCCAAGTGCCGGGTCCTGCACTTCAGTCACAACAACCCCAGGCAACGCTACAGGCTTGGGGAGGAGTGGCTGGAAAGCTGCCCAGCAGAAAAAGACCTGAGGGTGCTGGTTGACAGCCGACTGAACATGAGCCAGCAGTGTGCCCAGGTGGCCACAACAACCAACAGCATCCTGGCCTGTATTGGAAACAGTGTGGCCAGCAGAAGCACGGAAGTGATTGTGCCCCTGTACTCAGCCCTGGTGAGGCCACACCTCCAACACTGTGTTCAGTTTTGGGCCCCTCACCACAAGACAGACACTGAGGTGCTGGAGTAAGTCCAAAGAATGGCAAGGAAGCTGGTGAAGCTTCCCTGGTCTTCCTTCTGGTCTACAGCACAAGTCTTACGAGGAGCGGCTGAGGGAATTGGCGTTGTGCAGCCTGGAGAAGAGGAGGCTGAGGGGAGGCCTTATTGCTCTTTATAACTACCTGAAAGGACATTGTGGCAAGGTGGATGTCAGTCTCTTGACCCAAGTAACAAGCAACAGAACAAGAGGAATCGGCCTCAAGTTGTGGCAGCGGGGGGTTTAGATTGGATATTAGGAAAAATTTCTTCACCAAAAGAGTTGTCAAGCATTGGAAATGGCTGCCCAGGGAAGTGGCTGAGTCACCATGCCTGGAGATATTTAAAAGACGGGTAGATGTGGTGCTTAGGGACACAGTTTAGTGGTGGACTTGGCAGTGCTAGGTTAAAGGCTGGACTTGATCTTACAGGTCTTTTCCAACCTAAACAATTTTATGATTCCATGTCATATTCTATCTTAGGCTCCATAAATCACTCTTGGTTTTTCCTCCCTATTTGAGAATTTGTACTAACCTCAGTCTGTATATAAATTGACCCTTTAAAGACCAGTCTTAGCTGTATGCAGTATGTTAGATGCTTTCAGTTCAGTGCTGCATGCATTTAAGAGAATGTCTTCCATAGCAAAACTCAAACCCATTAAATCAGTTCTGTGTGTTTTCCTGACAGCATTCATTTCAGTTGAAACAATCTGGCTGCTAACATCTGTTCCTTCTGTCTTGTTCCCCTCAATATTTACTCTAGCCACCTTTTTTCTTAATATTATCCAAAGGAGAACTGGCATTCCTAAAATATCCATTCCAGATGGCTCTATGGTTATAAAAAGCTGGCTTTACATCCTGAAGCTAAATAACTAATACTAGAAAGCTTCAATGCTAAAGCACTGCTGGTCTTTTATAAGTTGTAAAATCAGGTAATATATATACAAAAGAAGTAAGATTAGCCCTCTAATCTTTATTCTCTTTTTCTCTGGAAACACTTTCAGAGACTTAGTAAACTAGTCAATACATTCTAACAGTGTCATGAGCAAATGTAAGTTCAAATATATGCAAATACAAATTCAGTAAGTTTGGAACAAAGGTATGGGCATGTGTATATAAATACCCATACAAAACAGCCCAGAACTAAAGGCTATAAAGTTTCTGTTTGAATTATTACATCAGGGAATCAATGAAAATGAGATGAGGATTATATTCAAAGCAGACTGCCAACTGATTCACTCAATATGTACGAATAGGAAAAGTGTTAGTATTGAGAAGCAGCAGTATTCAGAACCATCTTTTGCCGTGCATAATATACTCCAAATATTATACCTCCTTTCTTGAATAGTTAATGCTCCTACACCTGTAACTGACAGCATCCACAACCCATGTTAGGATAGTTGAAAACCATACCAAAGTACTGACTGATTAATGAAGCACTAGAAATGTGTTGTTGAAATGTATTGACTGATTATTTATCAGAACTTTCACACATCTTTCTCCAAAACATGCAGTACTGTCAAGTATCAGAGACAGAACCATGCACTATTGAAATGATAGGACTGGTCTCATATGCTAGTTTGTTACATTTTCATTATAACAAAAGAGTCTTAAGAAAAAGAAAATACCCTCCAGCTTGCAGTACAGTCTGAATTATCTATCTTTGTCACTGAAAAAAAGACTGGGAAATCTTACGTACAGTCATTAAGTAGAAAACAGGGTGCAACTTAAGTCATGTTTTTAAACATAAACCGTGTATAATAGTATTTACCATTATATAATTAACAATATTATCACTGTTGGCAGAACACATTACTAACCAGCTAACACTGTCACACTATGCACTGACAGTACACACCACTGAGAAACCTGTATTTAGCAAACAAACTTAACTAACGTTACAAAGCACCACAAGAAACCTGTACATCATCATCAAACTACTTGAAAGGTTTTAACACTCCTTCCCAGAAAAGCATGTTTCTTTAAGTCCAAGAGCAAAAGAGTTTATGTAGACACATCAGAAGAAAAGAACAATTACCAGCAAAGAGGTCTTCTCTGTCATCATCTAGCATGATTTCTGCTGGCTTTGGACCATTGGAGTTTGTGCTGAGGTCTTCTGCAGGAACACTTGCTGGGTCTGGAGATGAAGGGCTTGACTGTTTAAAAAAAAACAGTGAAATAATTAGCAGAGAACCAGTTGCCGTGTGTCGGTATATAACAGTTATTGCAACAAACATTCTTTCATTGCAAAGAAGGAAGGCAAGACGTTCAGAAAAGAAACCTTGTCAGCTATTTCCATTTCCTACTCCTAGCACAGTAACAATGAACAAAGGATATGAGTTAGGCAACAGCTCTTTTCATTTCTTTGTCAAAAAGAGTCACCCATTTCCTCAGGTTTAATGAACATGAAACAAAAGCTGCTACAGAAATATCTAGGATAATTTTATTAGTATTGCTGAATGTAATTTGATTATTAAATTCCTTTTGGAAAGGCTTGGATTTAAATTTGGATTTGTATGTAGAAAAAAATTAATAAAAAAATCTCCAAGTGCTCTATACCAGTTTTTCAGAGATTAAAAGAATGCATTAGTGCCATCCAAACAACTCAAGGCTGCCTGTGGCCATAAAAAAATTTGATAGCTTTGCAACAGGTTGAATTTGGGGATTATTGCCACAAAGGATCACACTGTACCGTACATGGAAGCTAGGCTTGCCATAGATACAGTTCCTTTAATTCCCCAAAGACTAGAACTTGCCCTGTGAAAAAGAGAAATATTTTAAGACACTTGCGAAAATTAAGGCAATACTGAAGCTGGGGTACCAAATGTACAGCTTACTCACAAAATAAATACATACTTCAGTTAGAAAATCCTTGTTGAGTAGTATCAACTATGTTTACCGACATAGTACCTCAAGTTGCGCCAGGGGAGGTTTAGATTGGATATTAGGAAAAAATTCTTCACTGAGAGAGTGGTCAGGCATTGGAACAGGCTGCCCAGGGAGGTGGTGGAGTCGCCATCTCTGGAAGTGTTCAAAAAACATGTGGATGTGGCGCTTCAGGACATGGTTTAGGGGACATGGTGGCGCTGGATTAATGGTTGGACTTGATGATGTTGAAGGTCCTTTCCAACCTAGTGATTCTGTGAAAATTTGCAAGACTCACTTCTCACAACTTCGTCTAAGATAGCTAGCTAAGGGGTTTTCAACAACAGTGTATTTATTCAAGAATGCACACAGTTTAAAAGTGGTATCTATAAATTGTGTTGCTGCTTGCTTCCTACTTTTTGCATAGAATTGTCATGATTTCAATTCAGAACCAGAATTCAAAACAGATAGTAAATGTTTCAGGCTACACATCAGCAAATGCCAAAGGCTACAATGGATTAAAAAAAACCCTGAAAGATACTGAAAAGCCAAGGAAAAAGTCTGTCCAGATTGTATTTTCACATTCATAAATGTAGCAAATGCAACAGTTCTAAGGGACAGGTCTTCCTTATAGCTGGCTCTCCAAGAACAGCGTACATCCTAACATGGAGTTTGGCAGTGCTAAGCAAGACCCTGGCTCCCTCATCTATCCAGACCTCAGTCACCTGACATTCTAATACAGAGGAAGTAAGCAAGAAACAGTAAAAATGCTGCCAAATTCAGACACCATACGAAGTAGTTTTTCAGAGGACATATGAATCAAGACTCTTGACATGGAAAGGTGTTAGCTCAAGGTTTTCCCTTGCTGAAGTCAAAAGGAAGATAAAAGCAAATACAAGAATACAAGAAAATTTAGGTTCCTCTAAACCAGATTACAGTTGCAACAAGGAACTGCTCTGTTCAAATGAAAGAAGAGGTTATATCCCCCTCCCTTTGCCAAAGGCTGCCACTCTCTGAAAAGCCCACATGTAACATGAGGAAACCAATAAACAAACCACAGCGATGAGCAACAAAAGGAGCTGCCTCTCAAACTGCTTACTGGATTTTGTCCTAGAGCTTGCAAAGAAAGTCAAAGCATAAACACTCGGGAACTGTGTGTAGGGAGTAGTTTATAACCTTACAAGGAACCAATCCACTAGTCATATGTATGCTTCGCATCTCATATTAAACCAATGCCAAAATGATCCCGCAGCAAAAAGAGTGCTCTGGGGTAATGAAGATGTATTTGTTCACTCTGTGAAGCACTATCCTTAAGTTGTATCACAAGACTTGCAACTAATTTAGATCAAATTAACTAGGAAATTTAAGAAAACTGCACCACTTGACATGCTTAATTATTCTACAAATGAATGATAGTATAGATAGTATGTGTCACATGTAACAGTTGTGAAGTCAGAAGTAGCATATTCCGGCAGAAATGGTCTGTCTCTCCAGGCAGTGCCACGTAGAGTTGCAAGTTCAAGATCTTGTACTTCAGCTAGAACAGCAGAGCACAGAAATGCTTGATTTCCCCAGTGAGGTTCAAGCAGTTTAAAATTTTATCAGCAAAAACAATTCTCTATAAAAACATTATAGATACGCATTCCAAAACAGTTTTGCTGCTACTCTACTTTGGACAGCAATCCACTTACATTTTGATAGATCTGAGGCTTAGGACATCATGGGGATCCCACATTACCACAGCTGCAGAATGGCACGCAGTTCATCTTGTCAATTCACCTCCATGAAAAACAGCTGTAATACAGCCAGGCAGAGTGAACAAAAGCCTTCCTGAACACTTGTTGCACATAGTCTGCTTTATCCCTTAATTGTGCTCTTGATTAACAAATGGTGAAAAGAGCCCTTGGAGAGTATTTGTGTCTTCAACCTATTCCCTCAGCCTACCTTCTCACTTTTATCTGAGGTAACTGTTTTAGTTACTGATGGTTACTTTTGCCTATATCTGGCTCTCCAGTCACAAAAAAAAAAAAAACACCAAGACACAAAATTCACCTTAAACACTTAAATCTGACCAACGTATGGCATAATATGAAAAACCAAGCATTTATATGCCTAAAGCAATAAGTCAACTAGAGGCCAACACAAAGCTATTCCCACTTTGAAGAAAGAGATTCTTCCTAGGGATAGCTATAAATACATGCCACCAAGTCCTGGCAGGACTATGGATCTCTTTCTGTTACTTAGCTGGGACAAATCCTGTCCATTGGCATTATTAAAGAAAGCCAAGAATTCTGCACTGGATACCAGGCTTCACAGCTGTAGTTAGTATACCAGTTACAAATGGCCTTCTCCAAATTTCATATATCCTGGTTTCCATGAACAGCAACTAGAAAATACTGGCAAGAAGAGAAGACTCAGATCTTAGGGGAACCTCAGGAAGCTCAAGAAGCAAAGCTTATTCATGCAGCTGGTACAATTCGTATACAAGACACAAAATCCAGAAGTGACTCTTATAGGAAGATTTTCAGTGATACAGAAGTTCTGCGTGTTATTTGTTTTATAAAGGTATAATAAATTTATATTTGTTACAAATCTCAAGTTCTGTTTTTAAAAACAGTAGCTACTAAAGTTTAGTTTTGTGGATGACTTACAGGTAAAATGTCTCTCCTTTAAAACAGCCTTTCAGCTGTGTACCATTTTTGGCTGGGATAGAGATAATTTTGTTCATAATAGCTTGCACAGTTCCCTGGTTTGGATTTGTGATTAAAGCAGTGTTCATAATACAGGGATGTTTTCATTACTGCTGAGCAGTGCTTACACAGAGCCAAGGCCTTTTCTGCTTCTCACACCACCCCACCAGTGAGTAGGCTGGGCGTGCACAAGAAGCTGGGAGGGGGACACAGCTTCAGGATCCCAACTGACCAAAGGGATATTCCATACCACATGACACCATGCTCAGCATAGAAAGCTGTGGGGAAGAAGAATGGTGAGGATGTTTGGATTTACAGTGTTAGTCTTCCCAAGTAACCGTTATGCATGATAAAGCCCTGCTCTCCTGGAGATAGCTGAACACCCATCTGTCAGTGGGAATGAATTCATTACATACTGCTTGCATGCGCAGCAAAATTATTTTTTACCCTTCCATCATTTTTACCCTTCCAATTTTCTCCCCCGTCCTGCTGGTGGGGAGTGAGTGAGCAGTTTGCCCGCTGGAGTTAAACCGCAACAAGCTGACAGCTGAATAAGGTATTTCCTGGCCTATTAATCTTTCAGTGGCTCTTCGGTATTTTTAAACAGCTGTCATTCTCACACAAGATAGATTAAGGATGGGGTTAAATAGCTTCATAAAAAGTTGGGATTTTATACGAAAAAGACAATGCACAGAAACTGCTTCAAACTGTGTTAAAAAAACACAGTATCAGCTCGTTTCTAAGGGTTTCGCAACAAAGTTTAGTCTGTTATCTTCAAAAGTTATCTTGAAAACAAACATAGTCCTCAGGGAACTATGAAAATCCAGAAAGCCACAGCCCTGAATGTATCAGCAGCTAGAGTCAATAATTCCTAATAATCTGATTATTTTACACAGTCAGTGGTTCAGAGAGTGCTATTCAGCCTCTCAGAAAAAACACTCAAGCACCTAAACAAGTATTAAAATATTAAGCTATTCCAGTTACACCCTACTACAGGGCAGAGAGAATAGACTGAACAGTAGGACAGTAACATTTTCAGCAGAAAGTAAGAGGACACAAGCAATCACACTAGAATGAACGCCTACATGCTTCCATTACAAACCTGAATTTAACACCGAGGAACAACACACACATCTTCCGTAGAATTACATCAATTAATCTTGGATACAGACTTAGTTTTTTTGCAAAAGTATAGCACAGTGCTGAAGGACTTAGTATTTTCCTCTCAGATACTCCAATGGGGTCTTTACTGCTTCCTCTATAATTGTGACTGTTAAATTCAATGGATATCATTGAAGACACCTGGACTTCTGTGCCTATCTAATGTAAAAAATGCCTTCTGTAAAAAAACCAAATGCGTATTGCAGATCTTTGACATAAACTGATAAAACTGGCAATGAGATTATATACACACCCTGCCCTAAATGACAGTCCTTGATAGATTACCACATCTACTGCTTACTCATTGTTTTCAAGTGCCTCCATGTATTCTTCCATTACCAAAAAAACCAAACCAAACAGGAATATAAATACAGGTTGAAATGAGTAGGTGGTAGCTTAGTTACATACTCACATGGCACCTGCTTTACAAAAGACAG